CATATACGATATATAATTGTATATACATATATGTATGTATATATATATGTATACGTAAAATGCCTGTGCTTTTCTTTATCATGCTTCTCTTTTTCTCTCTCTTTCTCTCTCTTTCTCTTTCTCTCTCTTTCTGTTTCCAATGAAATGTCACATGTTACTTGATCCTATTCTTTATTACCGCTTTGAATGGTTATTTGTAAAAATGACAAAGACGATTTTCGACACATGTAAATAACATTAGAAACGTGAAGATAGATAAACGTAATTTATAAGTATTGTTCTCGATTATTTCTTATTTTAAATGCTGCCAATATATTGTAGAAATATTTTCTTTTTTTTTTGCAAACGCTCTGTGATACATTTACAGTGTATATCGGTTACGTACGTCACGAAATTTTGAAACGCCACGGTAACTCGAGACGATTATCATTGCGCAAACAAGCGTTTCGCATCAAATTTCACCTCACGTGCATAATACACGGAAAAATTTGTCCAATTCCGTTTCACGGAGGAAAAAAAACGCAACAAAGTGTATGCACAGGCGACATGTCTTATCATCAGTATCTTGTACAAGAAATTAGTTTATTAATACAAATTTGGCTGATAAGTAAAGAGTTGTTAATCTGTCTTCTTTTCTTATATACGTTATATTATTACAGTTCGATATGTTTCTATTTGACCCTTTCGTATGTTTCTATTTGACCCTTTCATTCATTTTGTATTACTTCGTTCGGGCTATTTTTATGTCTGATTTTTTTTTTTCTATTTGCTCTTATCTCTGTCGCGCCTACTTCCTAGGACTTCTTCTGAATCGTAGAGAAAGAATTAAAGCCGAAACTTCACACGGAAATTATTAATATGTATTGTATGTATTGTATGGAATATAATTTAATATCGCGTTAGCATGCTTTCTGCGCACACAGAACGCAAAATCGCGAGATCCTTAGAGAGTAGAAACTCGCGTTAGCCGAGAGAGATGAATCGAATGCATCCCTAGAAGCAAGCAAATTTAGAGAGCCACCAAGAATGTGGTAACGTAATTGCCATGAAGCATGATGACCTTCCGACATTGAGACTAATAATCGTCCAGTCGGTTCCGGTACCGGTCTTCGATATTACCCATTCGTTCCCTGTTTTTGCACTTTTTCTTCGAAATTTAGACGGCGACTACTTGCTTAATGGTCTCCTCGTAGTGTCAATGTTGGTAGAAACGTTTTACGTTGTGCTATTTTACGACGTGGCTACCGATACTTTTCGTGCGTACGACATTCAGATTCATTTTTTCGCACGTGTCCGCGTAATTGCAGTTAGAAGCATCTCGAGAGCTAAAGTTCTTTCCGTGTGTCATTATTATTGTTTCGTCATTCGGTAAACTCGCGAATATCATTTTAACGTTCCAGACTAAGCGAGGAAATCGTACGTAGTCGCGATATATACTCGTTTATCACAAGATTTTTTTTCTCTCGTTCTTTCGTAGTTCCATGTCAATCTATAACGACGACACGATAAACGACATATAAATGATGATATTGAAATATATCTTATTTAATTTTTTGATATTGAAATACTTAAACAGACTTTGCAGGCGTGTTCAATCGGTTTCGAGTCTGTACATTATCGTTTCGTCTCGCCTGTGCATCCATTTGTGATCGATTGAATTCACAGAGAGCGTTGATAGAAGCGACAGTCGTGGAAGTTAAAATGATAGTCCGCTTCGGATTTGTCTGGAAATCATTATATCCAATGTGTTGCCCTGCTATACGTAATTGCATAGTGTTTTTACTCTTTTCCCAGCAACAGGAGCAGGACCCCACCAATCTGTACATCGCCAACCTGCCGCTGACCTTCAAAGAGAATGACGTCGAGGCATTACTCGCTCAATACGGACAAGTTATCTCTACGCGTATCCTGCGCGACACTTCCGGCCAGAGCAAAGGAGTTGGATTCGCAAGGTTCGCATGAAATCCGTGACAGTATTGTTCATAGCTCCCTGACGGTTACATTTGCTTCGTGTGAGATTTGTTGAAAGACAATAAAAGCGATTGACTCATCATTTATTGTCGCACCTTTATTTTTCACAACACATATGTGATCTAAACACATTAAAATAAAACAATTTATATACGTTTACGCCAAAGCGCATTTAACAAATTAAATTTTTATTTTGTGTCGGCGTATAATCATCAAAATTATTTCGAATTGATGACATCAATGGCGAAATATAAATTTATGTAACTTGGCAAAAAATAATTATTGAACGAATTTTTTCAAATGGACAGTTTAAAGCTCCGGAACATTGAAGTTTCTTCTTCGAGAAATCTTATCAAGACTTTTTTTATTGAATCATACGTTAAATTATATCGCGTTGTCTTCCGTTCTCTTAAATAATAAATTAAAACTTGTAAATAACCCTGGTATTTCTGTGATTACAGAATGGAATCAAAGGAAAAATGTGAACAGATCATTCAAATGTTTAATGGAAAGGCACTACCAGGCGCAAAGGATCCATTATTAGTTAAGTTTGCCGATGGAGGAAACAAAAAGAAATCGTTGTTCAAGAGTACAATATGGAGAGAAACCGGCGAAGTACGTATTCATTTTTACTTTTATGATTCAAGTCATAATATTACATAGAATCGTCATATTAGCGTCACATAAGTGATATGTTAGGGATGAGTCAATACCAAATCTTAATTATTTTGCAAATCTCTTTCAGAACATGACTTTAAATTACGATACAAGCGGCGTTGGTCAGAACGGCGTTGCTACGACTCACATGCTTCCTGCGACAGCTCTGACACAGTACAGTCGTCACTACAGTCAGGCATTGCCTGGTTACAGTGTGCCAGGCACCCCGTGGGTGGCTCCTTACCTCGTGCATCCTTCCCCGCCACATATGCAACAGGTTGACGTGAGTTTTTATACACCTTTCGTTCGTTTTGTTTCATTGCTTTGCACATACGATAAAAAATTTTTTTTTATCGAATTTTGATTCGAGGAATAACATAATTTCGTGTATGTGCATGGTACATCAGATACGATAGAATTTGTAGATTTAAAATTTAAGACATTTCTTTTTTAAAGTAGAACTGTTCTAACTTATTCTAATGTCGTTTTCTATAGTCGTTTCATAATTGTTAGAAATAAGCTTAATTCAATCATTTGATTGAAAAATTAGGATATCTAATAAAATTAATTAACTGTCAAATCAAGTTTTTGGAATATATTTGAAATATGCTATTTTTGTTCACGAGAAAGTCATGTTTAGTTTATATCTTAAATTTGTTGCGTATTGTTATATCTATTTTTTTCATCATGTATCGTCCGCTTGTCATTGTTTTTGTTTTATCAGTACATTTCATCTTTGTTATAGATGATACCATCAGCCGATCCTAGTAATCCGCAGTACAGTATGATTCCGCAGCTTACTACGCAAATGTCTACTTTACATCTCGGCACTGGTTCCGTAAGTTTTTCTAATTTTTTAACCAGCTAAATACGAATCTCCAAAGAACATTTCAAAGATTGAAATTTAAATGTTGTTTTAAAAATGTTATTTATTAAATGTTTAAATGTTTAAATGTTGTTTTATATAGAGTTTGTGAATTTTTTTAGAGTTAAATTAGATCTTTATGATGTCTTTCGGATATTCGTATACAAGTATTATTAAATTTGAGCCAAAGATGATAAGTAAAAACTAATTCTTCTTGTTTCTTGTTTTCAGTACATAGCGAGCCCACATCCCTATCCTTATACGACTTATCCTGCTCCTAGTATCATTCACACTATGCCACTAGGCGAGTCGGAGCAGACGAGTAACGCAGCGTCCCCCGACGACTCTTATCAGCAGTACCAGGCTCAGCAGCCTAAGTAGGCCACGGTTTACAATAGGTCAGGATTCTTTCTCCCTCTTATGTGTTGTATCACGCGCTATTGTATCGAATTACAAATTCCTTAGCATTCCACAATAAGCTGAACAAATCGTAAAAATATTTTTCGTTTGCAGATGTACGATCGCGCTAAGGGTTACGTGAATTAGGAAAGGCTTACTGATTGACACATGAAAATATGCGCAGAATGAAGCAGAGTAGCAACAGATACGAGAGCGGATTACACTAAGAATAGATTTGAAACAAAAAAACTACATTACGTAACGAATAAGATTCTTCCTCACGATAAATTGACTTGCCAGCGTTTTTATACGTTTTATCCAACAGTAAATAGAGGAAAGTAGATGATATTTTGCAACGAGTAGGCAGAATGAATGTTGCGAGAATGTGTAAGAGCGAAAGAAACCGAGCGAGCGAGAGAAAGAATAATAATTGAAGGAAGTACAGGAAAACGAGTATAAGAGCGATCACGTGTCATTCTCGTGGAACGGCACGTGCTTCCATACCAGTATGGCTCCGTTAAAGCTACGTGACGGTTACACGTACACTTTCATGTATACATACATACAGACACATGTCCAACATACATCGTACACGACAGTAATGAAAAAAATCAAGTTATTTACGAAGAACAGTTACTGTCAAGCTGATAGGCTTCCATGATGTAACTTTAGATGTTATGTTTACTACGGACAGATGACAGAAGCTAATTGAAGCTAATCTCGAGAGCTCGACAGTATGGATAAGTATTTCAATGAACGAGTGAAAGAGAGAGAATGTGCGTGTATGCGTTTACTATAAAGAAAAACGAGGAAAGGAGAGGAAAAAGTAATACTGCTCAGAAATATACAAAGGAGAATTCTTCCCGAGGAAATAATAGTAAATAATAATAATATACAACAAGAGAGAGAAAGAGCAAAAGTGAGAGTGAGAGAGAAAGAAAAAAGTGTATGAAAGAGAAGAAGAGAGGATGCGCTACTTTCAGGACGATATAACATCGAGAGAAAAAAATTCAGAGATTCGTAATTACAATTTAAAATCTCGGGGGAGGTATTCGTTCGCGAAACTAGTAAAAATACTTGTCTGCAGCTGAGAATACATACACGTGAACATACACGATTCATCTTCCGTGATAATGCACTTCATCCCATTCGTTCTCTCGCGTGCAGATTACATAGGATATACGAAACAAATATACTACCACACCTTCATCAGAGTTCACGTGTTTTTTCAGGTTTCTTTTTTTTTTCCTTTTTTCATTTTTCCGCTTTTACATTCAGAAACATTCCACGCCGAGTATATACGCGCGCATCGTCACGCAGAGGTATTTTTTTTTAACGAAAATACTGGTAGTCTATCAATTTTCTAGCGGTACCGCGCATCTCTACCGCGTTGCGTTTCCTTGTTTTTTTTTGTTTTTTTTTTTTTTTTTAAACGTACAACGAACTTTTATTATAAATAAAATTACAGAGACAACCGGTGAAAGGAAAGGACGACGGTAAAATTTTGTTTCTAAAATAGGCAAGGGGAGGAATGCAATTTTCAAAATATATTCCGTATAATTATTGTACGAAAGACGGAAAGAAAAAAATGAAACAGTACTTTTTAGAGCGTTATATTTACGATGATTACAAGTTAGATACGGATCGATATCAATTTTTAATTGTACAGTAAATACAGATATTTTTTTTAGAATCGTGCCTTTTCACACAGATCCGTTAAATGAAAGAGAGGAAGAGAAAGAGAGAAATATATATATGCAGGAGAAAATTGTTATAATATATTTTTACGCATCGGTAAATTCAGATGCGGAGTCAAATCTTAATTTTCTAATTAATATATCTGTAATTGTTTTTGTGTTAAATATCTCTATACATTTGTTTTCGTTGTCAATTTGATAGATTTTGTACGCGTGATTACATACATTATTGAATTGGAATTGTCGGACTGTTTGAAAGAAAAACAAAATAGACGCAGACATAGCGGCAGTCCGTAATAATAATAAAAGAAAAAAAGAAGAGAAAATCTAAGAAAATCAAATCGCGACAACTCGAGAAACAGAATGCAAGATAACGAGAGAGAGAGAGAGAGAGAGAGAGAGAGAGAGAGAGAGAGAGAAGAGAAGGAAG